TATATATATATATATATATATATATATATATATATATATATATATATATATATATATATATATATAAAGCTTACCCTGGTGGTGGTGGCGAGGAGAATAGGTGTGTATTAATTTTTTGTTGTTTATTAAATAAATTATAAAAAAGAGAGAAATGAATAGAAGAAAGAAGAAAGCGTGTATATATATATTTGGGGTGTATGTACACCGGAAGAGTTTTAGTGAGTATTTGTTTGTTTGTTAAAGTTATAAAATAATTCTCTTTTCTCATTATAATAGATATTATATCTAATACAGATATATTTTTTTTTACAAGACAAAAGGGGTGTTGCTGCTGCGCATGCAGCAGCAGAGCAGCAACCTCTGGCCACTGCAGCAGCAGCAACGATGAATCCTTGTGTATATACAGCCGAGAAGAAAAATATAAACGTAAAGACAATGCTTGTTTATATTTCTTTATAAATATATATACTGAATATATTATAAATAAAGATAAACTTAATACATACAAACAACATACACTCTGATAGACACCCCAAGGATAAAAAGGAGAAGACGCCAGGATAGATGTATCTTTACATGCTGCTGCTGCAGCTGCAGCAGCAGCAGGTGCAGCAGCAGCAACTGCAGCAGGAGCAGCAGCAGCAGCTGGAACAGCAGCAGCTGCAGCAGCAGGAGCGGCAGCAGCCACTGCAGCAGGAGCAGCAGCACCAGCAGCAGCTGCTGCAGCAGCAGGAGCAGCAGCAGCAACTGCAGCAGGAGCAGCAGCAGGAGCAGCAGCAGCAGCAGCAGCAGCAGCAGCAGCAGGAGGGTAAAGTAAAGAAGAAGAGCATTTAATAAGCCCCCCCCAATTGATAAAGACAAGAATAAACCAACTAAAATAAACCGTAAACCCTAAAATAAACAAATGAGATAGAGACGAAGACACCATCGCATGCAGTCCCCCTTCTAGCCAGTATCTATACACCCCAGAAACAAATCTATCTAGGTCTGAAACAGCATCCCACTCTGCTGCTGCTGCTGCTGCTGCTGCTGCTGCTGTTTTTTCTTTCTTTTCTTTTGCGTGATGATGCTGCTGCTGCTGCTGCTGCTGTTGCTGCT